AACCGAACCATCGAAAGATCAAGATGATTTATATAAATCAGACAACAGAGGAGAATAATAACATCGAGAACTATCTCATCCATACCATACTGCGATCACAACGCTAGCTCTCACAGCTCAATTCCGAACAAAGAAAATAACTTCCATCACACCTTCTCACTGACGAAACAGAAATTCAAGTGAACACGAAAAACCATATACTCACTACCCTTTTGTCTGCCCCAGAAACTCAAAGAATACATGCTCATCTAAAAACGCAATACAGTGGCGCCTCCAAATTCTCCTACATAGACTAACACATAAATGATCTCATCAAAACTATATGACCTGCTATTCATTGATCAACAACCATTATAAATCCATGTTAGCTACACACTACTACTTAAAAAATTCAACACTGATCTCATCCTAAACAACTGTCATGTCACACTACTACACTACTAAAACTCTAATAACAACAGGAAACACACACAAACATAAGCCTAGCATAACACATACCATACATAAACATCCAAAATATGAACACTAGCTAAAAAGGAAAACGAAGATTCCATAACTATCACTCAGAGAGCTAACACTACTCACACACTAACCTGACATAAATGAGAAAAGATTGACAACTATACGTGTCCGGTACAAGTATGCTGGATTTTTTAAAATTTCAAATGCGATTAGTCCACCCCTCAAACCTCACTAGTACCATCATGTTGTTGGACTATCAAAACTGTCAAACGAACACGTGTTAATTTGTTAAAAATACCAGACATTGTTTTTTTATGACACGAATAACAAACTTGCTACATCTCTGACAGTGTAAGTACTACTCATTACTCCATTTACAGCCTTCTTGAGTTTGAGGGCTATTGCCATTCGTACTACTTACTACTTAAACATGAAGATTTTGGGGGAAAATATATATTACAGAGCATTACTGATGAAACCACTCGACTTCACAACTGGTTTGACAGACAAACATCAAAAAAAGAAAAAAATTTATTTCAATTCTTAAGGTAAAAATCCCATTTATTAAATTAGATATTGCTTAAAATCTGCAGATTATGAAAGAAATCACAGTTGGTTTGAACCGAATTGATTAAGGCAATTGTGTTATTACAGAGCGTTGATCAAGAACGAAAAAGTGAATCAATATGCTTCTATGACATTATTCGAACATGCAAAGTCCGCTGATACAAAACTAATTAATTACAAAGGGGGCGGTTGTGAATGGAGGGGAGGAGGATTAAACATGCCCTCGGTCAAATAGCCACTAATACCTGTTGATGATCCTGAAAAGAGGTAAAAAAAAGATGTCTTTCTCCTTTATGATAGAACCTGTGATAGCTTGCATTCGTGCGTCTGGCAAAAACAAGTCGTGACGTTGATCTTTATACTGAGACCAGATGGGAGATGCATTCAAGATGGTAGAGATTTTTTCACCAGCCTTCAAATCTAAACAAGCACTCTTCAACGCATCCACGATTTCTGCTCTAGCAGCTGCAGAATTCTCAACACCTTAATAAATTCAAATGTCAATTCGATAATTCAAAAGCGAAACCTGGCATCGGACTTTTCAGCACATCTAGCAAGTATTCAATCATTCCACAGTTCAACATTTGACTAGCTAGATCTCCACTACCTCTTTTCATAAGGCATTTCAGTGCATGAGCTGATTCCCTCATCAAAGCTAAACATTACCAATTGTTTGGAAAACGTGAATAAATTTTTACTAGGTTGGTTTTTCATCGAGACCATTATTCCTTGGATGCAGTTTATTCTACACAACGCATCAGCACAGTGCTAGAAGAATGGATTAGTTTAGTTGATTAGTTAATTATCACCTCATTATCAGACAACTGCTGGAGAATTAAAATAGCAGCCTGCGAAGCTCTCGGATCTTTAGATGACATTGCTGCACAGAACTGAGGAAGGTAGCCTTGAGCTGGTAGTTGATCTGCAGTATTGGGATGATATCGCATGAGTTCTGTGAAGGCTTTCGTGACAACTGACAAATCATCTCCTGGTTTCTTCATTAGATCAAGTACTCTTAAAATTATGGAATGAAACTGAACTATTTTGGAAAAATACTTCTCAATCAGCTCTGTTGCAAACTGTCTGGGGTGCCTTACAGCCCAAGCGGGATTGGCTACAAACAGACGAACGAAGACTCCTCCTACAATCAACTCTCCCGATACAGAGTCAGAGTAAGCACATGAGTCATCTGAGAGAGTCTGAAGAATTGAAGAAAAGTTTTAGAGCAATGCCGAAATATGTGACATACCACATTCCACTTTGTATCTGGATCAATTTTTTGCTTTGCATATATATCCTTGACACCCTCTTCCAAAATTTGTTGAACCTAAACCCAATGCTTCCTTGTACTCGAATGAAAAAAAATGACTAGCCTTCCCTCTAGTTGTTTCATTCCATATGAGTTCAGGATTCTCATTTGAAGAATCGAACATCGTAATTCTAAAAATTACAATACTTTCAAGTTTATATCTTTCTCAGCTTACGCTGTGGTGGGGGAGTCACGCAATGCATCGGCAAATATTGGTGGTAAATATTTCGTGATGAAGCGAGTCCACCGTGGACCCGTTAGTTTATCCGCCTCCAAAACTTCTTTAAACTGGTATAAATTGAATGTGATACCTGCAGCTTAGCAAGTAACTCTGCTGCCTGAAGTCGAACTGCTGGATCTTTACGCGAGTTGCCAAAAATAGCCAGAATGAAGAGTACACCACCTAAGAATAGTTTTCAACTGAGACTGTACTGGAAACTAACCATAATCGAGAACGTCCTTAACGATTTGTCCGTTTGAGGCCAGAGCTATTAGAATGTTTAAAATGAGAGGGAGCTCTGAAATAATTTTTGCTAGTTGTAATCTTGAGAACCATACCGTCTTCTCGTTCCAGAATTAAACCAAAGAGTGTTGAGCACGGACGAACATTCGCAAAATCTGACACGCATTCCCGATTACCAGCAGCGAGCGATAACACCTACAAAAACTTCTTTGAAGCGAATACCGAAATTTTCAAACTTTGAGTATTCCAATTTGAATTTTGGGATGATTCTTAGCACGTAGATAGGAAATAAGCAAATTGAAATGCCCAATTAAGAGAATCTCGACACCTGAACGAAAAAAATGAAGCTGACCAAAGAAAAAATAAAAGAAAACAAGCAAACAGAAACATCACTTAAAACACAAACACAACGGTCGCATACCTTTCTCAATTTTATCAATAAACACTGAACAATCCTTTGGTTAGATTGGAGAACGATGATGAGATAAAAAAAATCACCTGGATTAGCCACAATCAAGTTGTTGATAGCTTCAATGCACATCAACACTTTCTCAGCAGACGACATTTGGTTGGCATTACTGCTCCAGTCAATATCAATCAGATCTCCATTTAGCTTCTTTGCACCAGTTAATTCATCCATATATTTGCCTATGAAATCTAGCAAGTCCATCGCCATTTTCTTGGGTTCCTGATATGAGACGTTTCAAAGTTCATCAAAACGAAACTCACATGCAAGGGGAAGTTTGGTTGTTCATTATAGATACGTATGAAAACATCTCCTACAATAAGCTCTTTTGCATAAACCGAAAGCTGGAATTCAGCTCCAAACAACTCGCTCTGTGAATGAAAGAAGAAATAAGTAATCAGCATGACGAAATGTTACCGAATTCTCGTGAGAGGTTCTATGACGTTCCACAAACTGCAACACTTCAGCACGGGTAGCGTTATCCCAAATCAAATACGGATCCTCCGTATTACAATTCAATACTTTCAGTACTATATCGTTGGTAGTTGTTCTTATTAACCGACAAACGTAAGGAGTAAGAAGGGCTCTCAAACTGTTCTGAACAACTTATGATTGAAATTATTGTAGGGCTAAATCTAACCTGAACACCATCATTATCCGGAGTATGTTCTCTAAAACCAGCCAAACAAGCTAGAGCTTCGCAAGATGATCTAGCCAGACGATTTGCTAGTGATTGCTTGTTAGAGTTTTCGCTATGTTGCACACCTATAGCGAAACATATCGTATATTCTAGCACTGTATAAGTTCAAACCTCCTTCGTCTAATGTATAATCGAAATGGAACAAATGAGGAACAAGTTGCCACAAAATTCCAGCTTGGAACAACTGAGTTTGTAGAAGAGTATCTACAGCCATTCCACAGACACATTCGGCGGCAGCCGAAGACAAACGCGGTAATTGCTGTATTAGAAATTATTGAACCATCGAAAAATTCACAATTACCGAGAACTGTAAAAGATGACATAAGTTTCCAAATAAAGTTGGAAGTTCGGCTAGCCGTTGTCGACATTGTTCGAATTGTGCCGCGGTGGCAAAGCAGTTACAGATGTGTTCACAGACCTGATCAGAAGAGTGAAAAAAGTTCAAACAGAGGTAATATAACCTGAACCGGGATATCTGTAGGCTGAGAATTCATGGTGATCATAGCGTAACAACGGTCAAATGCAGTTTGCAGAGCTTCGAGTCCTTGATCTCTTCTTAGCTGTTCGGCATTAAGGGCGCTACTCATGAGAGTGTGGTTACATAATTCTATGGCAGCCGATAACAGGATTCCGCCTCCACTAAATTATGCTACATCTACTCAATTACTGTTACACCACTTACGTTTTCCTAAACAAAGACTCATCATTGGCCTCAATCTCAATAGTTCTAATGAGGCGATCATATCCAGCGTATTTATAAACGGACAACTCTGAAATATGTTCAAAAACATGTAGCGAAAATACGGTAACCAACCTTCTTTGTACCGGGAGTAAATTATACTTTGTGCTTGCAGGCAAAGAATAATGCGTTGAGTATCTGGACCAGCCATTTGAGCAGTTCGGTTAATATTGCTTGACAGCAATTCATATGCAGCGTTAACCTATGATTATAAATTCATTGGAAACCATCAAAAACCATTAACATACCTTAGCAAACATATCTCTGAACTCCATCTCTTTGTCCCGATTTTCATCAGTTAACTTATCGGGGTGATAGTAAATAGACAACTTGTAATAGGCTTTTCGCACAACGGAACGTTCTTGCCAGCTGCAAACAAGATTGTGTTGAGAATAACATAGAAACGATTTAACCTATCATCTGCCATTGAAAGTCCCAATGTTTCACACGCTTGTTCTATCGACATTGCAGGAGGTTTTTTGACAAGTTCTCCATGCCACGCTGCTAAACAAGCCCGTAGGAACGGCACAGGGTCTCGGATAGGCCAATCAGGGAACCTTTGTTTGTCACATAAATGTCGTAGATAATAGACGTGACAGAACAGTTCATTCTCCAGCTCAGGATAGTCTATTGTGGGTATAGGGCAAAATTGATAAAGAGCCTGAATGCTATTTTAATTTACTTTACAATCAAGCAACGTACTTTCACATTTGAAGTGAGCCGAGGGTAGAAATCACCTATGTGGATAGCTATTTGTCGTATCATGTGCTTTCTCATTTCAGTGTTCCAAATCACTTCTGGGTTGTCGAACTCTCCCAAATATACTTCTGAATACTTGTCTGGTCCGTAATGATCGAGATAGAAGACAGCAGCCTCAGGTAAAAGAGGTGAGAGTATAGATTGCCGAGTTTCTCCAAACTATAATTTTGGTTTTTTTACGTAGGAAAGTATCAAGTTTTACCATAGCAGACTGAAAAGCCTGTTTACGATGAGTATAATGAAGAAATCTCGCGATAGGTAAAACATCTGATCCGTTGTACATAAGAATGAAGTAAAACACTCCTGTAAGGTGTAAGCGTGGCAAGAAAGGATTATCCTGAAGAACAAAGTTAACACAATCTTCTTTCAACAATGTATAAACCTCAATGATATGAAGCAATAAAGTGGCTACTCTTTTTACAATGGAGGGTTCATATGTCAGTAAGAGCTGTACTATATGATATAAAAGAACTGGTTCAGTCAAACGTAGTTTAACACCCGGCATTGGCCTGACGACACTCCCATAGCTGTCTCTTAAACAAAGAGATATTGAAACGAAGAGCAACACTGATCTGTACCTGGATGGATAATACTCACACATTTTATTCATGATGTCCAAACAAATAGAACATAGTTCAGTGAATCGGTACAATCCGAGTGCTCCCTAAGTAAGTTGGTTCAGATGAAAAAAACATCCGCACGTACTGGTGGAAGACAAACAGTCCAACGAAATTGTGGTACACTACTCAAAGTTTGCCACTTGTCCATTCCCGAAGCCCAAACAGCGCTCTTTTCGAAAATTACCTTCTCAGAGTAAAGCTCTTTCATCTTTGAGTTTAATAATGTAATATATATCTGCTCACAAAAAAAACCTTATTGAATGAAAACGGTCCTTGTTGTTGTCCTTCCTTATCATTGTAACGCCATTCCTTAGCCTCTCCAGCGTTTTGTTGGTTTGCCGAAGCTTCAATAGCATTGGTCTGAGAACTTTAAATATAAAAACAATTTCACGGACTGCAAAACCTGGTTCTGAATGACAGCTCTCTTCACATCAAGGTGAGCTAAATCGCATAAATCGACTAGTAATGGCAACACATTGGCAAGCATAAGCTCCCGCACATTGTCTCGGTTCAGCACCAGTTTGGAAAGTAGAAAAACCTGAACTAGTTGCTAGCGAACAGTAATCAGGTGCAAACCAATTGATCTCTCTCTTGAGGGTTATTGCATTTACTGAGCATAGATACGAAGTATTTTGCATCCGCGAAAGCTCCGATAGTCTCATGATTTCTACAGTAAGCGACAGCCATTGCTCGTAGACAAAAGCAACGCATCTCACTCTTGGCGGAAAGTAAAAACCGATGATACACATCATTGAAAAACTCCAGTCTGAAGACATATCCTGTATTTCAAATAGTTAACATAACCCACGGATTATGTATTGGTGTTGAATCATCATCTGCTTCCTGAAGCATAACTCGAAGGTAGTAATCCCCTATCTTGATTTCATCTTCCAAAGATGGATATATGACCTTTAAACAGTTATGATATTTACAATACTTACGAATAATCTACCTGGTACTCAGTGTGATTCCACGATAATTGGATATCGTTTGAGGCTCTCTCTTTTTCGGCTTTGAAAGTAATCAACTCCGTCTCAATAGATTTACTAAAACATAAAAGATGATTATACTAATGTTGTTCAACTCGATCAACCTGAACTCGGTTCGAGTTTTCTCATTCCAGATAAGATCCGCTTGAGCATGATCTATTCCGAACTGGTAAGCGAACAGCCTCCAGTTCAAGACGGATCTGACTCTCTGCCTTCTTTTACGTAATACAACCGGTCTTTGCTGCTGGCGATCCTTGAATGAGTTCAAATATACATAAACTTTTTCAGAAAACGCACGTCTCCCACTCGACGGGGAATATTGAAGTTTAGCTTCTGTTCCAAATCCCAATGCTGAACAAAACGATCAAGACTTGCTTCCGCGGTGACTCTACAAGAAAAAAATATATTGGTGAAATTCCTTCGCTGCTCACCTCAGATAATCTAATTTTTCTTTGATTGGACCTTGCGCTCTTTGCTCATTAGTAGCGGCTTCCAAATTGTTCCTTGGTATCAAAAGATCGGCTTCCTTGACGGGAACCTCTGCGTCAGAGTTCAGAAAGTTCAAAAGACCTCTAGGCTGAAGTCACAAATTACGATAACTGATAACATTTTTTTTCATACTAAACAGCGGGTCATGAGCTCATTTGCAGGTATATTTTCACTTAACCACAAGCTGATTAAGTGACCACTAAGTTGTTTATTGGTCATAACCTAAAGATTTTATACTATTAAGGAGAAACCTATTTCCAACATTACTCTGAGGTCTTTCCCTTTGGACAAGAGCGCAGACTGAAGATGAGAAAGAAAAGCTCCTTCAGTTAAGGCTAAGGTTTGCATTCTTTTTGATATTTCTGGATCAGCTTCTTCAATAATTGCTCTCATTACCATTCCAGCTCCTATCATAACGAGTAAGCAGAGAAACATTTCTTGAACAACCTTTCACAATCGTCATACTAGACGTATGAAATAATCTGTAGAAGCTTCTACCTCTATCAGCAACAAGTTTGATGATAAAGTCGAAAGTAGAACCTTCGGTCGTCTCACTATAGGGTGCACAGACGGAATAAGTGAGGAAATCTAGCATTGAAGCAATGACAAGCCAGCCTGTTCCTCGATTCTGAAAGGAATTAAACTTTCGAACTCGAAAGAAAACCTACCACATGATTAACCACCAGATCCAACAGTTCTTCAACAAACTTGGGTGATGATAGGAGGCTTTTCTTATTCAGTTGCTCAATTCTTATTTCGTATTGATCATGCATAGGATGCATAAGAGCAGATAGGGCTTCTACAACAGCATGGTCGACCGATTCGTTTTTCTTGGAGAGAGCGCGAATGACAAGAGTGCCCAGCTTCTCGCGTACTCTGAAAATAAGAAAAACTACACTACAATCCATTTATTCAGAAGTACCCGTTAACTTCAGTAAACGCTTGGAAACCACTTTTAGAGGCAAAAAGACGTCTCAGGCATTGCAACTGAGCTTCAGTTTTGTGGACATGTTGAGGATCATCCTGAAAATTGTTACGGCTACTGTTTGGTATGCTACTAACCTTTTCATAATTTTCACAGAGAACAGCTTCCAGAGCTGCAACAATCACTTTACCCTTTTTCTCAGAAAAAAAGCCCTGTAAATATGGAAAGTATCATTTTTTCGAGTTGGGTGTGTACATCATGAGTTCGTGAGTATGTTAATCCATTGTAAGGAATATTTGCGTTGAAACGTCGAATGAGATCCGATCTCCTCAAACCAGCTAAAAATTACCATATAAACACTCAAAACAGTAATAAGGTTCATTACCTGAAGGAGAAATTACAAGCCTCATCATTTGAGATTCGCCATCCTCATCGAGTAAAACGTTATGTGGTGTTAACCGGAGAGCACGATCAAATCTATGCCCAGAGACGAAGACTTGTTCATTACCAGAAGCTCTGATACCATCTAACAGAGAAGCTAATATGAGGTCCCTGGAATATCTACTTTGCCTACCAACGACTGTTATATTAACTATACCTTTCGCTGGAGGAATAAATTCGTCCGTAACCCGTCACATATTCTATGACAAACTGTTGAGGATCCTTTTCTAACCGAGCCAAGCAAACAATCTTAAAAGGAACAATATAACGGAACCGAATTTACGTAATACATTTTTCAAAGGCGTAGCGCATATTACAGAGTAAGAGGCAGGATCTCTTTCAATTAGACAGGATTCACTCAAACATAATATCCTTCTTACATGACCATCTCTTCGCTTCGTATACTTATTTACAGGAAACTCAGCGTAAGAAGTGATTTTATCATCAGTACTATAATATAATACAAATAACACTCGAATTACAAAAAGCTGAGCTCACCTGCAGAGTCCTAAGCGGGTTTTCTCAAAGTCATCGACAGTTATGGACTTTTTATCAATAGGCAGAACAATCCCCAAATTATCAGAAGCTAATTGTCTCATATCTTCTACGATCTTCTCCATATTGGCGGAAGCGAACGCATGCTTGAAGGAAACGTAGAGAAGTCACAGAAAAATCCTCTTACCCTCCTACGATGATCTCCCATTTCTACTTGGAACATTCCTTGAGCATTACTAATCTGAAAATATAGCCAACTTAAGATCATTTTCTAAGAAAGTTGAACCTTCCCAACACTTTTTATATCCTTGTAAGGATAAATCTGTACAACCACTCCACGATTGTCAACCTTCAGGAAAAATTTTGAAAAAATTTATAACAAGAGCTTCACCTGTTCCATAGCGGCAGCATTGGCTCTTAGTATCACAGGAATCCGTTGCCCAGACCAACTATGCTTAACAGCATTTATAGCCTTTAGAATAACGGTATTGTGAACAAAAAAAAAGCAAACCGTTGGAGTATTAGTCTGATCAGCGAATTTTGTATTAAGCAGTAAGCATTCCGTGATGATATCGGCTGCGTACTCAGAGGCGAATTTCATGGTATCCTGTATGAGATACATAAACTTATATATCGATATAGAAACAAACTCTTTTGCCTTTGTTCCGAACAACTATCACAAACTCGTCCATCTTAGAGTTATCGTTTGAATTATTTTTAAGTGTTGGCTTGATACTAATGAAGTCTTCATAACCCCACTGAACATTACAGTGAATGCATGTTTTAATGATAACCTAACTTGATTTGTAATTTCTAGTGTTTGGGGATTGTAAGTAGAAACAGCCAACGTTCCTATTGAGAATATCCTCTTATATCTAATTACAAATAAGTTTCATTATTTGAGAAAATGAATCATACCTCCCTTTCCATGATAATTTAGTGACTAAGAAACATGCCGAGTCACGATTATTAGGGCAAAAATTAGCCATCTACAAGAGAGAGTTTTCCAGCCGTTCTGCTATAGAATATTGGATTTACCACTTCAAGAACACTGAAAATATCCAAACTATTATTTTCAAAAGTTTCACATAGAGACAGCAACGAAAAAGTGAATGATGGGATACAGTCTAAAAAAGAATAATAACAAATACGCAGAAGTGCGTTGCTTTTCATTTACACGAGCATTTCAGAACTGTGACAAAAACTCAGGAGAAGTAATGTTTCTATCTAATTATAGTAAGACATTACTCATGTGTATACATATTGCATATTTGTGATTATACATAATTATGTTTTTATTTTGGTATATTCCATATAATACATATTATGGCATATTCTTTAGCCGTTCAAACGGTTAATGAGCTGAAAGTTAAATGTTTATACCTTCGAGCTGTGTTGAGCGTTGACACCGTTTGTATCGAAGTAAACATTAAATTTGAGATGGTTAAAGCCATATATAATATATTCTGATCGAAAAACAAATCTTGTTACACCAGAAATACATGAAACGAACCCAAATGAGTTCAATCATCGTGATCCAAAAATGCAAAAACATTTTGTCGTAGCGAATATGTATAACAACTTCAATTTCGTCCGATTATAATGCACTAATGTGCACATTGATTATAATGTAACGAATTTTGTGACATTGTTATGTCTTTCTTATTTACCCAAAAATCGCTGTTTTTTCTTTCATCGATTGTTTATCAGGGAACATGAACAATCCGTTTTATTCCTATTCGAACTTCTGACATATCTTCGTTGAAAATGTTCCTATAACAGTTCATTAACAGACATTTAATATCCATCTTTATTCCTTCAACATTTATTCACCATGAGCATCAAAATCCCAGGATGAAACAGGATTTGCACGTCTACATCAAACGCATCCGAAACTTCGGTTTTTTTTCGGTGATAGTTGCGCACGGTATGGCAGAGAGCGAAGGTTCGTTCTGTTGAAATTTAAAAATAATATGAACACGGACGTAAAGTTTAAATTTTATTAATTTTGATAAATGTATGTAAAATTATTCATAAAATCTGTTAAGGCCTCAATGCATAGAACATATATTAATAAAACATACAAATATTATGAAAATTTTAGGAGTAAAGATAATTATGTCAGATAGAAATCTAATTAAGACTCGTTGGAAGTTTGTGCACTACTCGGGACATTAAACGTGAAAGCTGAGAGAGACATACTAAGATAAGTTAAGTGACCTCACGTGAGCAGGCAATAAGGTATTTCTCTCAGCCTTCTGAATTTGCAAAAAGCTAGACGGAATTAGATCGAATTGGTTGTATGTAGTAGAGAAAGAGAATAACAAAGGCGAATATCCTAGAGAGGATGATTGATGATGAAAAGCAGAAAGATGGGGTATGAATAGTTTTGTTCCAAGACAGTTAAGAATCAGAAAGACCGGAGCAAACATTTTTTTCCGGACAAAGAATTGAGCTCCGGATCCCGCAATATGCGAATCAAAAAATTCGAGGATAAAGAGCAGAAAACGTTCCAGTGATGGTCAAGTTCCGTTAGGCGGAAACCCAAAAGTTCAAACTACATTATTTTTAACAAGAGGATTCAATAAAAATTAAATTGTAAGCGTACGTACCCGATGATGCGTATGGCTTACGGAAGAAAAGTCTTCCGCGGGCAGTAGGAACCGGACGGGAGGTATCTGAGGGTCATAAGAATATGAAAAACTAAAAAATGAAGAGAGTGTACAATACATTCTCGAACATGTTAGCATAAAATCCTATCCTAGAAATAGTGCAAAACAAGGAAGTAAGAGACAGGACAGACATAGAGGAAGCGAAGAAATTCGAGTAAGGAAGACTCCAAAGTTGCTTATAGCTTTGATATTGAAGTGTGAGAAAAACGACGGTCACAGAGTGAAATTTCCTACTGGGTGAAGATCAAAAAAATGTCTGAATGAGAAAACCTATAGCATGAGAGAAAAACGTTAACAATCAACAAAAAGCAAAGTCGCCATACATTTTCTGTTGGTCCAAGGAAGTATAACGATAATAGATTTCTTTAAGTATTTACTTATGCAAATTAAGATCCCCTGTAATCATCGCTTTTACTGCTATCTTAACCCGCGTACTGAACGAAGACAGCATGTATCATCACATAATGAGTCTAATTGCTTCCTAGGAAGCTGAAAATTCTGCGAATCAAGGTTCACAACACTAAAGAATCCATGACGATGGAGAGAAATACGTTTGTTGAATGTGAGCAACCGTTCCCAACCATTTAACTGTTTCGCTTTTTGTCATATGTGAGCAAGTTATAGAATAAACAGAGCAAGGATAAATTGGCAGCTGCTAGAAGGAGAGGAACTTTGTACCTCAGCAGCCAGGCCTGAAATAGAATATAGATTATAAGTCACTAAGTTGTTCACAAACCCGGAAAGTCGGGTGGAATAGATATCTAAGTGGATTGGCACGTAATAATGCTTGATCTTCTTGATCTCTCAATACTTCTTGTCGTCGCTGGGATGCTAATCTTGCTGCTTCTTCTCGTTTCAAACGAACCTAATTAACAATAATCAACTTGGTATAAGAAAGAAAAAATTTCAATACCCCAGTATTTTCTAAAGCAGCTAAGTTAGGCAAGCTGCCCATGTTCTCGTTCAGTTCTGGCGATGTATCTGTCTGACGATCACGAGGCGAGGCTAAAGTAGAACGCCTATTCAATAACTGCAAAATATGGGATGATGAGAGTTCGGAACGAAGACATACCGAAACATTATCGTTGACATCACTTTGCCTTGTTAATAAAGGTTTATTACGACGTATCCTAGCTTGCCCTGGATTGCCCGCCATAACGTACTGATCATAATGATCATCACTGAAGAAGAATGTTTTAAATAATGAGAGAAATTCATACCTGAGAGAGAATCGACTCGAACTTTGTTGGTTATGCTGGAGTTGTGGCAGCAGTGTACTACCGGAAGGAGCATTCAGATTTGTCGACGTGTTTGCCGTCGATGCTTCTGCCAACTCCACAACATGCTCAAGTTGAGAAGCAGGAGGGACTTCCTTTATCAATCAAAATATATAGGATCACAGTGTGAAAAAAAACCTCTGTAGGAGGAATGATTGCGGAATTAGAACCGGTCGGAGCGCCCTGCATGTCATCCGAATATGCACCCGTACTTGTAGGCGATCCGTGATAAGTCGGTTGTAGATGAAAACTTTAAGAAGTAAAGTAAATAATAGTTAAACTTGCGAACTCTTACTTCACATGATTACCCGACTGCTGACCTATATGATTGAACATTTGTCCAGATGGACCAGGTCCCAGTGGGGTTAAGTAAGCTCCTTCTGGCATGTCTATTGAAAGGTTCTAGAAAAACAATTAAATTCAACACTTAAAATTAAAACTAACTTGTTCAAAAGATCCTTTATTACTGCTATGAGTTTCTGATAAATGCCTGGAGAAAGAATGAGGATCAGATAGATCTGTGCCAAAAGATTCGCCTCCTCGAGAAGTAACAAGTTGTCGCTTTCGTGCATCAACTAGTAATAAAAAAAAATCAACAATTCGATATTACATATTACTCACCTGCTGGAAGAAATGATGGATCATATTTCGCGGCGTTCTTTCGAGCAATATCAGCATCAACCTGAGCCTGAGCTCCAACAAATTTAGCCTGTTCTGCTCTTTCTTTTGCCGTAGATGTTCGTGAAGCAGCGATATCAGCCTATAATAGTACAAATATTAGAAAAACAAAATAATAATTACCTTCTGTTGAGCAATAGATGCAGCACGTTGAGCGGCTTCATAGGCAGCTTCTACACGTTCTCGAATTTTCGTAGCTCTCACGAAAAGGGCTCCTCTTCTCCTAGCGGATATAATGAGAACATTGTTCTTATACTTCCCTTCTTCGCGACTAAATATTCACAGCCTTACCGTTGCGTTTTACTAGTGTCAAAAAACATACGTTCCATCTTTCAGCGTTGTCACTCCATATCCACATTTGGCATTATTGGCCCATTCACCGTGATACTTTAGTCCATCACTTCTCTCACAAACACCAAAACCACTGCGAGCATCGTTTTTCCATTCTCCCATATAGATTTCCGTCACATTCTCATCGATAGGTTCTTCCTGCAATAAGGGGAGATTAGGCTCAATAAAATTGAAAATTTTAAACGCGTACAACCGGCCGGCGCGAAGATGGTATGAAAAATGACTTGCAGCGCTTTAACATGCAGACCCTTCCCTGCTAAGACTGCGTGATTGTTAAAATTACAAGTACTCTGGTGGAAGTGATCGAATGTCTATCTTTCTTTATAGAAAATCAGAACAACTTGTAAAACAGAATCACTTTCGTCGTGCAAACGATTTTTTTGCCTTTTGTTAGCTTTTCGTCACTTCATGTCTCTTATTTAAGTATCAGTGTCGACATTAATTTAAATATAGCTCGCCACTTTCAACATCATCATCTAATCAAATACATATCGATCTTTTTTTGTCTGTGTGTGTATTTCCTTGATAAATGAAAGGGATAAAACTACACTCTGAAAGTTCAATCAACCATCAGTTTCATTAGACAACTCAGTGCTAAAGCAAAAGTTCTCTATCGGGAGAATAGTGTAATGTAAATGTACACAACATACACAAATACACATACACCATATAGAAATGAGAAACGAAAGAAAGCTTTGAGGAGAGATAGAAAGTAAAAACGCGAAAGAACGCAACAGCCATTTCTCTGCAATTTGAAAGCCGAGCAGCTCAATGAGTAAATGATGCCACTGACAATCAGGACAGATTTCTACTAATCTCAAAATGAGTTTTACAATCAAATCAAACAGTTTCGTCAATCAATACGAGTTTTCCTTTGTTTAATATAAAATAAAGTGAAGCTTACTTCTGGTTGTTCAAGTTGAAGTTTGTGTAGGGAATCTTCAGATGTACAGCTCATGGTGCTACCACTGGATCGTAGACTGCCTTCAAATATCTCAAGTTTTAAAAAAGGTTTTGATAGATGAATTGTTAACAAATAAGGGAAAACCACTCGGAAATATTATTTCGCGACAGATTGGTGCTCATAAACATAGTGCTTTGCTACCGGAATAATTCTGAGGTTAATATAAGCAACGGTACTCAGAATTTCGGAAAGCAAAAATGGTCAGAACGAAAACAGTAAAATGAAACACATGAGCATAGTCATGCCCATCACACAAAGCACATAATATGTATTAGCTCAGCCAGCAAACAGCATTTTCTTATGTAAGTCAAAGTGCGTTTTGATTTACTCAACCAAAATAAGCGAAGGATTAAGGCTCTTTAGGGGGAACAAGCAAGGAAAATGATTGTTCAAAAGCTGTGAGCTTGAACCTGAGCACCAACCTGTCATGCTGGTGACCCTTTGATGGATATCACCTGTAGAATGTTGTTTTTTAATCCGAAGTCCAGTTAAAATGCTCCGTTTCACGGCTAATGATCGTTCGGATAAAGACCGTCGTCTACGCTGAGGAGCTGAGCTATTGGCTTTCAAGACAAATCCACCACGTCCCATGATTCTCTCTTCTACAAGAACAGAATGAGTATGTCGGTTTTTTAAATAAAAACTTACTTCCTTCATCATCAGTCATTTCCTCTTCGCATCGACCACTTCGCAAACTGGACATGGAAGCATGAGTCTGTGATCGCGAACGGAATTTAGCCGCTGTTCCATATGAGCTACTTTTCCTGGTTCCATAGCCATGCCTTGTCCCTCGGAGCCATTGACCTTGATAATGACCTAGAAGTATAATGAATAAACTTGAAATTAAATAAATTTGATACCTCCATCTACATAAATTTCGGTACCATAACCATCATGATATCCAGCAGACCAAGTCCCTTGATATCTTGATTGATTCACGGTACTCTGCCTCACACCGTATCTACCTTTATAACCTTGTGTCCATTCACCCCTGAACACAGTTCTGTACTTGAATTTTTACAATTTGACTGCTACCTATACACTCCTCGTCCTCGATGTTCTACTCCTAAGCCGTGTAGTTTACCATTTTGCCATTGACCATAATAGGTATTACCAGACGGCCAAGTGTATACGCCAGAGACCTTGAGTATAAAAATTTATAGACTCATCAGAAGAGAAAACAAACTTCGAATCCGTAATGCCAAGCTCCAGCGAACTCGCCTTTTGCCATAGGACCTGTACAGACTCCATGACCATGGGCCTGAACTTGCAAAATTAAGATACTTTTGATTTTGAAAAAATCACCTTTCCTTCTTCCCAGCCGCCGATATATGTACCGCCGTCATCGAAATCAAATCGGCCTCCGTTCATCTGCTCCTGCTGATGCATGTCCCATCGGAATACGCTGTAAGTACTCTAACGGCGCTTCCTGCAAAGTAAAAAGTGAAATATCCGAAATCATAAAGAGAACAACAAGATATAATAGAAAAGAGAGTTCGCATATATTTTGACAAAAGGCATCAAAACCGGAAAATTCAAGTGTTCTGCTTGTGGATGCTATGGCGGTTTTTTCCGGCAATTGTTGAAGAAGAGAGAACACAACTGGATAAAAGCTTTGATGTGGATGGACAAAGGACAGAAATGAGCAATGTATGACTTATATGAGAAATCAACAACAATACAAATATAAATAATAATAGAAAGAATCCAATAGATTAAACGAATCATCTTTTGAGAGTTCAAACGTTTGTTAATGCGTGTTTTGCTATGAGAGTTCTTCGATGAGCTCAAAAAAATCTCATTTTCCTTCTGTCACTCGCATCTCTCTCGCTTCTTTTTTCATTTTTTGTATTTCTTATCTTTCTTTTCTTCTCCGAGCCTTCTCACGATCTTTTGATGCCTTACATACTTTACTCTCTGAGTCTCTTCTTCGAACCTGAACAAAGCCAGCGGTGCTCAGCAGCTTCCATTGCTTCGTCATACTCTTCTTTTCACATCATTTCTTTCATTCCTCTCAATCCTTTCTCTCTCTATCTTTCTATCGATATAGCCATTATCTCTCTGAAGCTCTCTGAATGCATAGCTGTGTCGTCAAATCGATCGATATATGAACACTCTGCTCTTCTGACTTCTCGCTTATTTCATTAGTCCTTTCCAACATCGCTTCTTCTTCGACGAGATTGTTGGTTGTAATAAAGCTAGCTAAGCTTCTTCCACCTCCACCTCCACCTTCAGCAAGACAAGAATAAGAAGAAAAAAGAATAAGAAGAAGGTGAAGAATGCAGAGAGACGGGAAATGAAAGTTTTCAGCAAAACAGATAAAAGATATGACGATGAGTGAAAAAAGTAAACTACAGTTCAAGCCAGAATGAATTCAGAATAAATAATTGTAATGAGCTTATGACTTGGTAGGCGTAGAAAAAACAGAGACAAGAAGCTGAGCTAATACATGAATTTAACAAGAAAATGCCCACGAGTTGAAGATAGTGGAAATTCTTAACTCTAACAACCTGAGTGCCTTTCCCTCTCTACTACGTAACAGAGATTGGGCTGTGAAAATCAAAGGAACAGGCAATATGACTGAGAAGAACCGACAGCTGAATGACTTAATAGCTGATTTGCTCAAAGACGCGTCAAAGCTTCTGCTTCTTCCTCATTTTCTTCTTTTATCTTTTCGCTGGCATTTATTTCAAATTCCAATGGCTGACCTTTCATACAATGAAACTCGATTATGCAGTTAAGGTAATGGAAGTATGGAAGAATTGAAAATAAGAGAAAAGCAAGATCAAACAAATCAACTGCAAATTACAAATGGTATTCTTTGTATTAATTATAAAACAATTTGAAGCGGAAAGTAGAGAGCGAGAAGCTTCAATCACGAGCACTTCCGATTGAAAGATTTCTGACAGTGCACACGGCGGAGAATAGTTAAAGAGGAAGATGAAGTTGAAGATGATGAGAAGGAACAGAATGACGCCGAAGGACTACCTTTGCGAATGAATGAGGTGAGCTAGAGGATAAGCTAATCGAAGAGAAAGGAGATATATAAGAGCTTAAATACAATAAACATTCAAACTGAGCCTAAAACTAACGTACAGAAAAAGGGAAGGGATCGAGAGATGAAGGATAAGAGATGAAAACTTCTGCTGAATAAAACATTACGAGGGCTGATCCTCAGAAGGGCTGATATATGAACATGCAAATAGAGTGGGTGGTAAATAAGCAGACAACAATAATCCATATCAAATCAATCAGATCATTTTGTGACTTGACTCTTGGTTATCATCACCTACTCGATCTGTTGACGGCCGTAATTACTGCTCAGTTCTGGCAAATGTTGTAATGCCCTGAAGCAATGTTTACACTGCCAGCCACTAGCGTCCCCGATTATATCACCATTATCGGTATCATTTCTAATTAATACTTTAATTATTAATATCCAATATATATTTGAATTCAGAAAGCAATTTCCTTCAGAATGCTCACGGTCAACAGAAGAAAAGAAACCTCTCGACTGGAAGGCCGGAGCCTTGGAGCCTTTTACTACACATTCGCATGAGGTAAGCAAGATCAAGCTTCTCAATATCTGGATGAAACCAATGTGTTTCTTAGCCAGGATTTCTTGTTGACATAACTACACAAGGTTTATAAAACAATAAATAGAGCGCACAGATGCACAGCTGTCCAGATGTGCATGTGAGAAGAACTCAAATGGAGAATTTTCAAAATTCAAAGCACAATACAAACATATCCACGTCATAAACACAAGAAAGGGCGCAAGATGAACGCGAAATCAAAACCTATGAGAACTAGTACAATCACTTCAGAGCTACAAGAGAGAGGAACTTCCTAAATTCGTCAAGAATAATCTGATCAGGAAACGGACTAGTCAGATACATTCATGAAAAGTAGAAGACACACGAAATAGTTGTTAGCTTAATTTTTTTTCTTGCTAACTCTTATTTCCACCCTCCCCCCTTATTCGCTGCTTTCAAAAGCTCAAGCGATTAGCTTGATTTCGTTGTGCAGCAAGACAGTCAACACCAGAGAAAAGACATCATGGTGGCTAGGACGGACCTTCAGGCCGTGACTGCTGGTGATGCTGAGAGCTAGCCCGAATGAATTATATATGAAAAAGCAGAAGGGAAAAGGCGACGAACGGACGACGAACAACCGTCAGACGACATCACGGATCCGGAAGAGATGACATCTGACTTGCTGGTATCTGATGAGAATGGAGAAAATGCAAAATATAATGCAAAAGTGGATTTGAAATGAGGTAATACAAAATTTCAAATAAAGTAGCCGAGCAAGGGAAAAGCGAGGGGTAAAAATAAGGAGAGCAATAACTTGCCAGGTTCACCAAGTAAAGGGGAAGTAAATCAGACATCATCTCGTCAGTTTCCTATTTAAAGCATGAAAATTGTGATGAAAGGCAAATCGAAATTGTTCAAAATATGAATGACGTAAACGAAACAGAATTCAAAGGTATCAATCAATTCACAGAAAGAATTCAAAATGTGAAAAATTGGAAACAAAGTCATATATCTGCAGAGAATTAACAATTAGTATTACTTTGCAGGAAAGTTTGAGGAAAAATTAATATTATACGACCAAACGATGTAAAAGAATCGGAAAAAATATCGATTAGCTGCTTATTGCTCCTATGGATATGCGGTTACGTGAAAGGTCGTCTAACTACATTTAATTCGACAGATTGACTGAGAGCGGTTGCGTTTAGATTTACTCAGAATGAGCTTGACATGATGAAGTCAGTGAATGCAAAACATAGTATAACGGGAATATCAGCATGGCATCAATGGATCAAAAAGCAAAATTTCATCTTAAGTTACCTGATGACAACACATTGTCATTTCTTTCTTTTATATATTTTCTGACATTCTTTCAATATTTTTTGTGACTTAAAAGCGAACAAAACTTTCAATCAAAAGTTAATGCGACGTAACCTTCCAACAAACGATTTTAAGCTCATTCACAACTGGCAACATCAGCCACGCACGATGTCTGAATCCCTTTATGGTTGGACATAGGACGAGAAGCCGACTAGATGCGAGAGTAGTGGCTAATTGAGATCCGTTTGGCTTTCCATGCACCCACTCACATGCACATATACATACGATACATACAACATTCATGCAAGGAGAAAAAACGAGACAAGCAGAATGAAAAGGATAATGGAGGTAAAAATTGGAACGAAAAATGAAGAACAATATAATATTTTGAAATATCTTTATGAAATGGAATGATCAAACTGCAGAGCACAAGAAATCTAACATAACTAAAAACCTCAATGACACTGCTGTGACACACGTGGTCGGCCACTTTCTTGAAATTCACGAAAAAATGCCACAAATGGTTAGATTGCATATCAGAGGATCATCAAACACATGAGCATAACACGAAGCTTGAGCAAGAGTTGCAAAATTTTAATTTTCTTTCTAAGTTGAAGCTGAACATCTGGTTCGCATCCAAAATACGAGCTATAGAGATAGAGAAAGAAAGATTATACATATAGAGAGAAAGAGAAAAAGGATAGAAGACGGCTTGAGAGGAAGAATGAGAGAAACGACAGAGAGAGAGGAAAATCTACGTGGCTATATTTACCCTTTAGCTAGCTTTCACGATCAATAAGATATTGAGATTCATCGATCAAATAAAGCCTTCATTTCGAACAAAAATATCTTTACGAAGTGTTGGAAAAAATAATATCGCTTGAAAAGGTCAACAATAATATTTTCTTGCAAGGAGCTCCAAGCTTCTCTACAAAGTGTCAGAATATTAAAAGCTAAATAATACATATGTAATAATAGGAGATCTTAAAGAAGGCTCTGGATAGCTTGAGCTGCTGTCAGAGGTATGCAGATACAATTTTGCCAAGACGGAGTTAAGACAAATTCGATATCAATGCATGAAGGCAAAAGGAGATAATTAAGAAAAGGTCAGAATTGAAAAGCAGAAGGTAGAGCTTTTTAGCATGTGAACAACCGAAAAAAAATTTTGGTCCAAACGGCAATTTGTTGCTTAAGGCAAGTTATTGCAGAGCCGTGTTGGACAAGCATGTCCTGAGAGAGCCGGACAAACTCAAAGAAATAATGAAAACAGGGAATTCGTGAGAGGAAACGGAAAATTTGAATAACGTTTCGTTGAGAACATGTAACAATAATCTGAACGAGTACATGAACATCGTAATTGAGAAAAAGAATGGTAATCACTCCACAAGGCACAGAAAAGAAAACATAAAGAAAGTCCAGTTTTTCACAGAAGAGTTAAAGATATTCATAACTTTTGTGTATCTCAATTCAGTTATAGTCTCTGTTAAAAAGTTCAACGGAGGTCAACATCTTTCGATC